TGCTTTATGACAAATCATACTGAAAAATGTGACTAATATTGGTGGGCCAGAAGACTTTGTAAATCTAAATCCCAGACTGAGACAGGAATACTCATGTTATTATTGTTAGCTGTGAAAGGGTAAGCTTTTCTATGGGAGGAAATGGGCTGGTATTCCAGTCTCAAGTTACCTCTCCAAATCTGGTTGTTGTTGTTGTTAAGTGCCGTTGAGTCAATTCCGACCCATAGCAACCCTGTATAGGGTTTCCAAGGAGCAGCGAATGAGCTTGAACCACTGACCTTGCAGTTCAAATGACTTTGCAGTCTGATGCATTAGCCTATAGCACCATGGCAGGAGTCCTGGTTAAGTAACACTTATTTCCTGAATGAGTCCTGATGTGGTACTGTACAATGAGCACTGGACTGCTGACCTAAAGATCACCAATTCAAACCCATAGCCATTCTTGGGAATCCCTATACAGATGTGCTATGAGTAGGAACTGACTCAATGGACATAACAACAACAACAGCATTGTCTTGAAAGGAAAGATGTAAAAGGTCATGAAGTGCCCAGGAGTGAGATGCAGCAGACAGAGCTCTACATGGAAGAAAATAATGAGATTCTCTTTGTACATTCTCCTTCTCCTGGGACCACAGGTAGACTGTGCACCTTTTGCCCACTGATTGCTCTGACATTCGCTGGATTGGTATATATACATATATAGAGAAATTTGAAGTCTCAATATCTCCCAACATTATCAGCAAAAATTGAAATCAATCCTTCTTTATATGGTGTTCCTTCTATAGATTTACTGCATTCCCATCCTGGTATAGCATTTTAGGATAAACACTGGACTGCTAACTATAAGGTCACCATTTTAATCTCATGAGCTGTTCCTTGGAAATTCTATACAGTGTGGCTATGAGCTGGAACTGACTCAATGGTACTTAACATCTTAGCAATGACATCAACTTTATCATTTACCTATTTTCTCAGGGAAAGCCATAACTCTTCTTTTGTTCATGTATTATTACCATGCTTGTCAACTTACTTGCCTTTTTATTTATAACCTTCAATTCCTTTCTCGGTGTGACTCTAAGGTGCCCCAGTGGCACAACAATTAAGCACTCAGCTGCTAACTGAAATGTTGGTGGTTCAAACATATTAGCAATTCAGCAGTCACAGACATAGAGATCTGCTTCCTTAAAGTTTCCTGACTCATTGCCATCTACATAGTACAGAGTACAATGGTCCCAGAGGGTTTCTAAAGCTGTCATATCTTTCTCCCAGGAAGCAGCTGATGGGTCCAAACTGTCAGCCTTTAACAACTGCACTTCCAAGGTTCCACTTAAATATTGCTGTTTTTGTTCCTAAGTGCCTTTTAGTTGGTTTTTATTCATAGCATACCTGTATAGAATTTCCAAAGAGTAGCTGCTGGATTTGAATCACTCACTGGTGTTGAGAATTGCATTCCAGAGCTGATCCTATATTGCCATACCAGAAGTCATAGCTTAGAAAACCCTGTACTACAAATATACTCTGTCTTGCAAACTCGTTAAGAGTCAGAAATGACTCCATGACACACAACAACAATAAACTATAACTTAGGCTGTCAACTATCAATCAATTAATTTGTGATCTAGTTTACTTTGTCTCTGGCCTTGCTTAATCTTTCTCATAAAATAAAAAAAAATAAAAAACTTGGTCTATTAACTCCCATGTTAAAGCAACATGTTGACTATGAACCCATCCTTCCTTGATATATGGTTCCTCTCAATTTCTCTGTTCTATTGCTTTGACCATTTCTGTTTTTTGTTTTTGAAACAAAAACAAAAACAAAAAACATTGTTTATAGTCCCTGCCTCTTTTCTCCGAGTTCATTCCAATGTACCATTCCACCTAGGTTAACTGCATAGTTTGTGGAACCTAGTGAAATGGTCTAAGGAGCTCTGGTAACATCATGTATGAAAATTAGGTTGCTAACTGCAAGGTTCAAATCTACCAGATGCTTTGCATGAGAAAGAGGAGGCTTTCTGCTTACATAAAGATTTACAGCCTCAGAAACCCTAAACAGATTTGCTAAAAGTTAGAACCGACTCCAGGGCTCATAACTCCCACCACCATTGGTGCAAAAGTTTGAGGACTAAGGCATACCTGACCCAAGCCATGGTACTTTCAAGTGTGTAATATGCATGTGAAAGTTGGACATTGACTAAAGAAGACTGCATTTGAGTTATGGTGCTGGAGAAGAATATTGAAAGTACAATGGATTGCCAGAAGAACAAACAAATCTGTGTTGGTAGAGTGCAGACAGAATGCTTCTTAGAAGTCAGGATGGGGAGACTTCATCTCTCATACTTCAGATATATTATGAGGAGGAACCAGTCCCTGGAGAAGAATATCATGCATGGCAAAGTAGAAGGTCAGCTAAAAAGTAGACAACACTCAATGAGATCGATTGACATAGTCAGTGCAGCAATGGGCTCAAGGGTAGCAATTGTAAGCATGGCACATGCTCTAGCAGTTTTTTCTTCTGTTGCTCCTAGAGTCACAATGAATTGAAACTGATTCAACAACAAAAACGTTGAAACTGACCTAAAAAAAATGAAAGTGTGCAAAATGAGATGAATCCTCCATTGCTCAACAACAACAATAAGTAAAAATTATTAAAACACCTTTCTTTGGTTGTTATTAGGTGACATTGAGTTGGATATGATTCATAGCAACCCTCACACAACAGAATGGAACACTGCCTAATTCTGTGACATCCTCTTAATTGTAGTAATGTTTGAACCCATTGATGCAACCCTTGTGTCAAACCATGTAGGTCTTCATCCTTTTCTATGACCCTTTACTTTCCCATGCATCACACCATTTTCCAGGGACTTGTCTTTTCTTATCACATGTCCAGAGTATGTGAGATGAATTCTCACCACCTTTCAAATATATCTTATTATTTATTAACCATAATAGAGATAACAGTAATTCCGAATTAACAGTATAAATTTACCAAATAAAATTTTGCACTATGATTTTATATGATAAAATAATGTTTTGTAAATGTGGTATCTGGATTGATCATAATATTTTTTTTACACATTCATTTTTACACATTCTAAATGTATAAAATTATACATTTAGAATTTTTTTTTCAACTGGTATAAATTAAAGTGACATGAACCACTTTTAACAAATGGAAGACGGCAAACAGTATTTAATAATTTTTAATTCTGAGAATGATATTTTTGCTGCTTAAAATGTTACCACAGCTGCCAAGTGTGTTTTGTGTATGACTATAACATTGAAATATATTTCTGATAAGTTATTTTTAAATATAAATTTTAGTACATTTATAACTGGTGATGTTTGTGAGTTTTTTGAAATATTTAATTCTTCATGCATGTCAACATTTCAAATCCAGTAGACATTTGCTTTACACTGTTGCAGCAGGGTTTTTTTCCCCTTTATATAACACTTGTGCATGTTTTATTAACATAGAAGAAAAATTTGCAACTCTAATGTAAAAATTACTAACCAAAATGATAAAATTAAGTAAATACTCCCAGTAATGGTTTTCACTTAAAAATTCCCAGAGATTCAAAAATTTGAGTCTAGATTGAGTACACACACTGCCGCAAACATACAGGTTCCAATATGTTGTTCAGCACAGTCTGATTTGGACTCATAGCAACTCTGTCTAAGATTTCATAGGAGCATCTGGTAGGTTTGAAGTGGTCAGATCTTACTGACCAATATCTGCAGTCCACTACTTATCATACAGCGACCACCAGGAATCCATAGGTGGGTTCCTTATGTCTTTTCAAATTCCAGTCACTTTCACACTACTACTAATTAATTTCACAATTCCCACTTTCTTTATGGTTTAATGCTAATTCGCATGTTTCCTTCGTTTGTTATAAAGTTGATCAATTCCAAAAGTTTCTCTATGCATTTCTGACAAGTTATGTTTCAAATGAAAAATATATTTGCAAAATTCAAATGGACAGCATCTGAACACCTATCTTCAGACACATATTATCTGGAGTTTCACCCACACCACAAGTGATGATGTGACTCAACAATCAGAGTTTGCTCCCTATATCTTTCCCCTTTTTAGCCATTCATTCAAATTTAATTCATGTGAGTTTGGAGGCTGTGCCTGTACTACTCAGGAGAACTCAGTCCCAATTACTCTTCTCAGAGGAGAACACCAGAAGGTTCGTTTAGAGGACATTCACTGGGGCATGGGGAATGTGTCTCTTGGACTTCTTAAGAGCATGTGGACTGTGAAAAGGAGGTGTAGAGTTCTCATGGGGTAGAGATGTGGGAGATGTTCTGAACTTGGAACCATCCATTATCCAATATTGTGATGACCCATATGAGAAGCTGACCTGCAACGTGGCTGGACAGTGAAGGTGCAAGGACAGTACAGGCTTTGATAGTATTCAGTTGTGGTCTACCATGTGGAGGCTGGAGGTCATTTCTTGGCTCCAGAACAGCCATTTTCCTGGTGTCCTGGGGAGCACCTATAAGTACAAACCCATTTGCGTAAGGAAGAGGTTGTCTAGCCCCCAGCTCCAGTTTCTGAGTGCTCTGCTGGAGAGTATGGAAGGCGTTGAGAGTCTACTTCTTTGGAGGATTCTGGAAAGTCTGTATGGGGATCTGTGCATTTCTCTTTCTTGATGTCTGGATGCTGAGAATAGAGCCATGGTCCCTTCTATGTGTGGCTGACTGTGGTCTGGGTTTTGAGCCCATCTCAGGACTCTTGGGGTTGAGAATATGGCCAAGGGCAAGTACTTTTGAGGCAGGCTGGGTACCATCGTGGACAAAAACATCAGGTCTATTTTATCTCAGTTTAGCCCTGGGGATAGAATCCAGGCTAAAGTGATAGGGTACTGGCTGCGAAGAGACAGTGTGATCTACTTCCTGTCCTTTATTTTGTCCATGAGATGATAAAATGTTAAGATCCTGATTTTTGGTGGGAGATAATGCAGGAAAGATTAATTTCAGGTCAGTTTTTCTTACAGGTGGTCAATTGTGAGAACAGGGTCCAAGACAGATGTCTTCTGGGTTGTATAGACAGACATTGGCCTGCAGGAAAGCCTTTGATAGTCACAAGATTCTGTTGAATCATTCTATTGTTGATGCTGCATCTCTTGGGGTCTCTTGGGAAATCTCTGGAGTAGAGCTTTCCTCTCATGCTCTTGCCTTTGTTCCTTTTCTCTTTCCATATTGTTAAAAGACCTTGGGGTCTAGGGCTCTTGGGAGATTCATGGCTCTAGGTTTCCATTCCCTTTATTGAATCCTAAGTGCTGGGACAGTAGGGCTCCAACCAGAACTTTATGGGACTCCTCCTGTTACATCAGTGATTAAAATAAGAGTTCTAAATTAGTTGAAGAAGTCTCATAAGAATCTGATATGCTTTAGCATAAGTAGTCCCTGAGGCAATGCAAATGGTAAATACTCAAATTTTACCCAAGGAGTTGGCAGTTAAAACTTACCTAGAGGCTCCTTGTAAGATAGATCTGGATATACTCTTCCTAAAGTTCACAGTGTTGAAAAAAACTATGGATCGGTTCTACTTTGCAGACATAGGGTCACCATGAATCCTAATCAGCTTCATAACAACTAATAAAAGCATGTTTTCTGGAAAGGAAAGAGACCCAGGATAAGCAAAACACTGCTTAAGAAGAATAAGGTTGGAGGCCTGTCACTTCCTGACTTCCAAATTTACTACATGGCTACAGTGGTCAAAACAGTTTGGTACTGGTACAATGAAAG